GGCTTTTCTGATGTTGATGATATATCTTTGGTGCCTCCTGTGATAGTGAGGACACAAAAATAATGGTTTTTTTCCATTCACTTTGATTACTTTATTCATATTATACACAATATCTCCATTACAGTGATCTTTTTAGTACCTCTAGTGTCTAGAGCCAGATCTCGGCCACCGTTGCAGTTTCAGGGTCAGCTGGTTTCAGCTATCTCCTGCAATAAAGAGTCCTAGGGCTTGCGCCTGCCTCTGTAGAGCCCTTTCTTGGTGTCAGCACAAGTACTCGCATTGCCCCACAGCAAACCAATTCGTGGAATTATCAGAGTTAAAAATATTCCTACAGAAGGAAAATTCATTTTCAGCAGGATCACTTCCCCAATTCAGTTTATCGTGCAGTCACACAACTGCTTCTCGGGGCACAAGAGAATGATATGAGGGGCCCAAATCATACAAGTAGGGATGGGGTAGAGCAGGACTGTCTGGAGACCAGTTAAATGCTGAATGTGCCTCAACTTAAATTTATCTAGTAAGTAAAGGACAAGAGATTGCAAATGGCTATGCAGTAGAGAGCTATGAAGAGACACCAAGGCACAATTGAGGTTGCAGCCAGACTCGGAGCCAGGAAATGACAGTTCTGTGTTTGCTTGTGCAATCCTGGTCGGGTGCCTGGCGCGGGTGCTGGATGGGGCAGGAGAAAGGAGGTTACTGGAGCTGGTGCCCGGCTTGTTTGAGTAGCCTCAAGTGCTCTCGTAACTGCAGGCAACTTAAACCCAGACAGAACTGCTAAGCGTCTGTACCGTTCAGCTGGCCGTGGCTTGAAGTGAGGAATGCCGCCTGCTTTCCCTTTAATCCGCACAAGTATTTTCCAGTTTCGCCCGCTCTCCATGCGGGTTCTCCGCGCCGCTCACCCTGTGCGCTCGCTCGCCGGCGGCTCCCTGCTCGGCCCTGGGGAGCCGAGGGCGGCCAAATGGAGCAGCCGCCCCGCAGCACTGCCCGTTCCAGGGCTGTGAGGCTTGGCTTGCTTTGCAAACAGCTGGAGCTTGGCGTGTGCTACTGGATAACTCGCCGCTTCGGACAGTTTATGGGGAAAAAAAGTGCTTTTGTGTTAGGACTGGTGCTTCCTGGGAGCTGCGCAGGGATTTACTGAGCAAATATTGGTGCTCTGCTCCGGGGCTTGCGTGGCAGAGAGGAGTGCAGTTAGTGATGGCAGGAGGGAAAATCCTTTATTTAAAAAAAGAAAAAAAAAGAACTTAGTGATTGAAGTAAAAAGTGGCATGTTGAAGTATTAGTTGATATAACAGCTAGCCACTGTGGGGAAAATAAAAAAGCAGAAGTTTGCCTTTGCGAAGCCCCCTGAGGTGCCGGGTGTTGTAGCCGGGTCGGTGGGTGCTGTTGGGATGGTGCGGGGGGACGTGTCCAGGGGAGGCCCTGAGCCCCGGCCCGGCAGTGTCCCCCGCGGCCGCTGAGCTCCCCGATACCGGGCCCTCAGCCCGGGACAAGCGCAGGGGCCACAAGAGCGGCCAGTGTGGCTCTGCCGAAGCTGGTGACCGATCCCCGGAGTAAGGCGGGGATTTGGGGACAAGGAAGAAAGGGTGGACCTGACCGAACTTGGAGAGCGGGTCTAAGGGGGCGATGGGGCCGTGCGGGCAGCGCCTGCCCGGGCTCCCTCCGCGGCCGCGCTCGAGGGCCGGAGGTGCCGAGGGCGGCGGGGGCGCCATTGTGTGCGGCGCCTCTGCAGCTGCGCGGGGAGGCGGGCGCGGAGGCGAGGCCTGGCCGGGCCG